ATCTGTGCAAATACGCTAGCGACGTTACACCAACAAACACGACGCTCACCAATGTACGTAGATGTAGTACGAAGACGGACACACACACACGCGCGCGCGCGCGCACACACACACACACACACTCACACACACACACACACACACACACACACACATACACACATATACACACACGCACACGACACGCACACACACACACACACACACACACACACACACACACACATGTACACACACACACACACACGGAGTCTTACATGCCAGATTTCTTTAGCATCTCCAGAGAAAGCTTACGGATACGGTCTTGGATGCCGTCCATTTTGGCGGGAAGTGGTCGCTACTGGGGCGCGTGGAGCGAAGTCAGGGACGTTCTGTCAGCACTGCAGCTAGGCAAGGGACACTGGATTTTTCACAAAGAGGGTCCCTCTAAGAACGATTTTTTTTAGAAAATATATACCCGTCCTTGCTTAGGAAATATACTTAGGTAAAACAGCATTCTTCGTACATTTTGTCTAGTCCAATAAGATTAGACATACACAACTCTGAAGCTTTGCAATTGGCGGTCAATTAAAGACAGTCAGAACGAAAAAAAACACCCCCGTTTGAAATTGGGTCCGTCCCCTTCTTTTAACGCGCTTGTTTATCAGTTTGAAAATGAATTCAAATAATTTCTCAACTGTCAAATTACATCAGCTAGACCCTGTTAAGACAATTTCGCTATCATGTTTGCTACATTTTAGTTATATATAGTGACAACTTCAAATCAACTTGGCTTGCGTCAGAAGTCTAGCTTCCTTAGATTTGAACATGGTTCATACAGGCACCGTTCTGGCATGTAAAATTGATTTTAACGATCAATCAGTAGTGATTATGACAAATGATCAAAACTCGAGCGCATCTAAATGCAATGTAATTAGTGAAATACCATCCACCATTACATAAAGGCATATAATTAGCGCTCCAGTCATAATTCAAACATCGAAAGAAAGTCATGGGGGAATTCGTCTGTTTTCTTACTTGTTCAATGTTAAGACACAGATAACAGAACTGAAATCTTACGAGAGATAAAGATGGAAAGGCTTGATATAAAAAGCTAATTGATTAATTAGTCTAGTCTCCTTGGATTACGGCTGTAGTAGGCGGAATGCGTCGTGACTAACGTACAAGTGAGGTCTAATGATTTGCGTCATCAGGGTTGACGTGAATGTTGTTGAGTGGAGGATGTCAGAAAGGTCTGCTTCGAAGTTCAGCTTGGGGGACGTATGGCTACGTGGGTTAACTTATAAGCACTAGTCGGCTCCAGAACCAGGTGCAAGAGGATTGAGTGAGTGAGTGAGTGAGAGAGTGAGTGAGTGAGTGAGTGAGTGAGTGAGTGAGTGAGTGACTGAGTAAGTGAGTGAGTGAGTGGTAAATGTATGTATATATGTGGCTGTGTACATTTTTATCTCTAGAAACTGTGCATAAACTTAGCCAGTATCCATCCCGGCACCATAGACTGATAGAGGTCTTTCATTAACGCAGTTAGCGTTCCGCTAAGCATTGGCTCCTTTTTCTGACAACCGATCTTTCTGACCGCAGAGCTCCAGTACACTTCGGCGGGCGAGAAACAGTCCCAGTACCGAGGGTATTCCTGGAAGGTAACGGTCGTTTGGTAACTGACTTGCATCGGTGCAAAACGCGAGGAAATTTTCATTATTATGGGTTCACCACACCACGAAGTGGTGGTGAACCCATATTGCTTTTTCTGATGTTTCTTCTCCTCCTTCTCCTCCTCCTGCCATATCTTTAAATGGATTCAGCTTCTTCATTTTAGGGCCTGAGGTCCTGAAATTCGGTATGGAGGTACAATGGGCAAATACCCCTAGGCATTTTTAAAATTTTTGTGATACAGGCTTTTAGAATGGTTTTATTTGAGTTTTTTGGCTGTGTTATAGCAAACGTATTACTGTGTTAGTGTGCCGTGTTTACCACGTCTGGGCATGAGTCATCACAATGGAATGCAGGGCATCAACCAATAGGCATGCAGCTTTCCTCTATTCTTCTTGCTGATTGGCTGTTGGGATTTAACTTGATTAACACCTGCACAGAGCATTTCCACCTGCACAGCGCATTTCTTGCTGATTGGCTGTTGGGATTTAACTTGATTAACACCTGCACAGAGCATTTCCATACTGACAGTATGTCTGTATTCAAGTGTTTTGGTAGGTATTTCAAGCTTTCCTGCTCCAGCATTGAAATGCGGGGCATGAACGTTTTTTTTATTTTGAAAATCAACAGTTTGCATTATGCAATTAAAAATCCTAACCAATAAAGTAGGGAATAGCTATCCAACTGTTGTTTTAGTTGTATGTTACTTCATATTATAGTTATATCAATGTAAATCATTGTTTTCCCTTGTGTTTCTCATTCTTTCCCTGCCATGTCGTAAAATGTGGTGAACCCATCGCTGTATTTGCTCCAAAGTAAATATTGGCCTTTCTAGTTTAGACAGTGTATTCCCAAGGACGACAAAATACATGTATATTTACAAAAACGAGGAACTTAACCGATGATTTTGTGGGCGTCCTGAGCCTAGGGTTTGCTGACCCGGTACTAATGGATTATGCGTTCACCAATAATGAGGTACCGGCCTTAAGCTGAAACCTGCACTTAAAACACACAGGGTGCCCTTAAGAGGTGAACTGCGTCAGTAGAGATCTGAAGCGCACGATTTTGTCCCGCCGCTGCGAAGAGAGTTAACGGCGTTACCGTTAATAAGTGGGACCTCTGATAGCCATTAGTATAGAGGGATGAAGCGTTCTCAATCCTCTGGGTAGACCACAATGAGCCTCTATTAATGTGACTTGCAGTTAACAGCCCTCTGGATGCACTACTCACTAGAAAGGGTAAGAATCGATGGTCTTATCACATATAGAGGCGTGAGATCATGGTATTGTTCCCGCTATTGGAAATGCTAGGACTCAAGTACGATCTACGTTTCACCGAACGATAGAAAAAAGAGGAATAAAAGAAAGATGAAAGAACGAAATAGTTAATCTTCAAGTAGATGGTGCAAGGAAAACTCCTAGCAGCTACTTCTACTAGTAGAAGTTCTAGCAAAAAAGAGGAACTAGAGAATGTTCCATTATCTGCTTGGAGGTAATATTTTCAAGTTATGAAACAGATTGAGCAAAATCTTATAACTTTATCTTTTTCTAAACCCTTCACAGGTGATGTGGCCACGAAGACATAACCACTTGTGCACAGGTTCCGACGTGTTTCTGTGAATTCAATTTCCCTGGCGCCACATGAGAATGACTCCCTGAAGCAACCATTGGCCTGAGTAGGCCCTAATCATGCGGACTGGACGGGCAGTCTCTACACTTGTTAACACGGACACTAAGGCCATGTTGATTTGATTATATGGATGACATCCTCTAGGAACCCCAAAACTGATGCGAGCTCGCGAATAAAAAAAGTTAAAAAAAAATAGTTTCCTTCATTATGAAATCTACGTGGTCATAAAGGTTGAACAAATGACTAAACACGTAGTATATGGTATTGCAAATAATAATAGACTCTTCCTTTTCATTTCTCATTTTCTTTTTTTTTTGCTGAATATTGATTTCGGCATTCTATGACATTAGTATCGTTTTCCAATACCTTTTTTTGCAACATACGACATATATTCGCTCATTTTTTCACTAGGGTCGAATTTTTTTTGGAAACGAAAAATCATGCGCCCGCGTGGATGTCATCCATATAATTAAATCAACATCCCCTAAAGCCTAGGAAAACATATTGTGTTTCCTGTTTCAATGTTGAAAAAATTAGGGTAGGTACTAGTAGGTAGGGATTATCTTTTTGCTTCTTTCTTTTTTTTATTAGCCTTTGGCAATCTCTACTAGTGATCCACAAGTAGAGATGTATACACTATATACATGTATATACAGTAGAGATGGAAATCCAGTAGAGTTGCCAACTCTACTAGTAGAGATGGGAATCCTAGTATTTATACTACTGAGTTCCTATCTCTACTAGTAGAGTTGGGAACTCTACTAGTAGAGATGGGAATTCCAGTCTCTACTAGTAGAGATGGGAATTCTGGTGTTTTTACTCCAATATCTACTAGGAGTGTTCCAGATTCTCTTACCAGACATTGGAATTCTAATCTTTTATAGGACAAATGGGAATTCTTTGAGTTAGACCAGGATATTCTCCAATTTTAGCAAGGAACATTTTTTTTTAAATAGACTGAACACCTAAAGTTTCAAATTTATCATATTATATTTCAGTGGCATGTACAAATAGCTATTGAGTGATGTTGGGTAATGATTGAGGTGTGAAAATATTCAGTCTATTTTCCAAAACATTTTTAGGTAACTAATATGACTGTGCCCTGCTAGAATTAGGTAACTAATATGACTGTGCCCTGCTAGAATTAGGTAACTAATATGACTGTGCCCTGCTAGAATTAGGTAACTAATATGACTGTGCCCTGCTAGAATCGTATAAATACGATTCCCATCTCTACTAGTAGAGTTGCCAACTCTACTGGATTTCCATCTCTACTGTGACATATATACATGTATAGTTACTCGTTCAACTACACCATATAGTCTTTTAAAAAATTATCTCAAAACTAAAACAATTTTCAAAATCAACCATGCAAACACACTACTTCTATGCTTAAAACCTATTATACCACAATACAAAATATAGCAATATTTGACATGATTATTTACCCCAGTAAAACACTTGTAAAGAAAACAAAAAACGTGATGCCTTCAACAGATATACAAAAAAATATCATGGTACGTTACTGACCTTATGAATATTATACAACATAGCAATAATGTCAACAAAACAGAGGGATTTCTAGTTCTGTTTATATTTAAGTATACTTACTGTTACTCTTTGGTAACCTGCTCCAGATATTACACTTTCAATACAAAAAGCAACTTTGTAAAATATAGAGCATTGATATGAAATTTGAATGTCATATCATCATATGCCTCTATCTCTATCTTACCCTATAAGCATCTTAATATATCTGCAAGTTTCAAAGACAACTTTAGTTAGTAAAAATACATTAATATCGATGTTGCTTTAGGACCTAAGTACATGTAGCAAAAAAAACTTTTTATTTCTGACAATACTCATGACTGTAAGGTTTCTGTCGAAAAAACAGCAAAAGCATACATGTGTGCAAATATATATAGTCACCTACATACATACAGTAGTAACTACGTACAAGGGTGTCCTCACAAGATAGCTATTAACAACACTTGGTGTTATCTCCATGTGACAAGTCATAACTATCCACTGCCATGAGCTTTCAAAGTTATGGTGGGACATAAAGCAGTTATACCAGCTGTTTTATACTAAATTATAGTTCTACCCTACAGATAAAGAATGATACAGAATCTGATGTTACAACTCAAGAGTTGGTCATAGGGCAGTTATACCAGTTGTTTTTCTGTATCAGAATTCTGTATCTGTATAGCCGGTATAACTGCCCTTTGGTGTAACACACTTGCTTCGCAGGCACATGGCGCGGCGGCAGCTGGCTACATTACACAAAACGACTTGTTACACCTAACCCTGGAACATCTAACTCTAAACTAATGATGATGCCCTTACTGTACTTAGTGGTAGCGAGTTCCACTATCTGATAGTTCTAGTTTTATAGTTTAGTATAGTTTTATGGTACTACAGATAAAGAATGATACAGAATCTGATGTAACAACTCAAAGAGCGCTCTCAGCCATCGGTGAGTGGGGTGGGGCTGAGGGGAAGCCTTCATTACGCGAGATGTCGTTATACGATGGCGGGAGAGTTGGATCTTTCTTCTGGTATGAGCCAAATTCTTCCGGTTCAAACGCGAGCGTTCCTCGGTCGGGAATCTTTGACTTCAGGGTCGCCTTGAAACGCTGAAGAAAGAGCAAAATTTTTGTTTAAGATTCGACATTATACACGCACTAAAATAGCTTTGATACTGTAAGAAAACCAATAATATTACAATGTGTTCATGACTTACATTACAGACAGGTAACTGTCACAATACATGTAATAGAATGTTTCACAAGAAAAGATTTACTCAAGCAACTGGATTGATGTTGAAAACTGTCAAGACATTTCAAGTAGCATCCACTACTTTTCCTCAGAGACTAATTTTGTCAGTGAAACATTTGACAGTTTTCAAAATCTATCCAGTTGCCTGAATCACTCTATTCTTGTGTATCTCATTACTTCAATGTCTGTATTTGTAACAATAGTCTTTATTTCCTACCTGCACAAAGCCTCCTTTTTCACTCAGCAATGCATGGATGGCTCCGATTGGTAGACAGATGATTGAAAGTGAGGCAATGACCCAGCCAATCGCCTGCCCCCATCCCGGGTAGTAGTAGTCGCCATACCTCACAGGGGTGTACTGGATGAACCCAAAGATCATGATACCCTGAAAAGAAAAGAGAAAAAAACACAATCAGAGACAACAGACTTTACCCACTTACTCCTAATGCTCTGTGATTCTAAATTGATAAAATTATATCTTTGAAGGAAAGAAATCAATACTCCAAAGTGAATGAACAAAAATTTAATGTACATGTAAGCAATGTGATTCAACAATAAACAACAGAAATATGTACGAGTACTTACTCCAATGAGTACTGGAGACAGTCCGTACCAGCAAACGATGAAGTACATCCATGGTTTGTTTCCTGCCATCTCTTCTATATTCCGGGCAAGCCTGTTGGCACCTAAAAATAACATCATGTCATAATTCAGGGCATCTCAGAAGAGAACCATTACAGAATAAAATCTACTTTATATTCCTCTTCATGGGAAATATGGAATTCGGAATTTTCGATTCTAATGTTGCATGATATCTTACCATATATCCAGGAGATGGCAACAACTTCGAAAAATGCAATGACCATGAGAGAGATGGCTGCAGCGTAGAAGTCAATCAGCTGGAAGAAGTACATCCCTCCCTGTAGAAGACACAACATTATAATTACTTCAACTGTACAACACAAGAACTAATTCAAAGATGGAAAATAGTGACCACATGTTTCAAAGGACAGCTAAAGTTGGGAATGTGTACATAAATGAATGTGCTAAATGGGTGTAGAAACTTAGAGGACAATGTAAATGTTTCAGAAATGGACAAAATCATTGTCAATTTGTGTATGTTCCAGATCTGCAAACTTGATTTTGTATGTTTTGAGGGATATGGTCTAGTAGAACAGTCAT